ACTGATGTTGTTTTACAGGGGGGAATGTTGCACGAGTTCGTCTTTATTCCGGGCCGGTGTTCATGTTGTGAACTTCATTCCGTTTTAAAAAATGGTCGCATAAGTACGGTGGTGCAATTAAGTTCGTTCATGTATTTGTAATCACTTGTACTGTTTCAAGTTTTTTTATAATTGCCGATGTATTAGACCACACTGTAGAGCAGTATATAATACAATTTACTCATCACTAGGGCATTGGCAATCGTGTTGACGGTTTCGCTATTGAAGCTGTCCTTTGCTCTATTTATTTGCCATAGTTTTGCCATGAAGATGACATGACGTGCTGTATGTGATGATCATAACTTAAATAACTATCCATGAATAGCCCAAGTTCTTGGCGTAGGGGACAGGTGTGATCTGCTTTCCCAGGAATGCGATAACCAGCCCGTCAGTGAGGTTTCCGATTACCTGTTGATTGCCTATATAATTACTGGCATTAATTTTGGCTTTTCAGGATTAATTAGCACTAGTTAGTTTATGAAGCACCATGCTGCAACCCTCTTAAGATTCTCTTCTATGTTGCTTTTGCCATCAATTATGTTCGTGATTGGAAATGATATGAATAATTTCGAATGATCTAGAAATAATTCTAGCTTAGCTGTTTTCAGTGCTGTTAATGGAAGGTCGTTTATATAAATGCAGAGCAGCAGAGGCGACAATATTGCCCCTTGTGGGACTGCGTAAGTGATTAATAGGGTTTCGGATACTGAAGTGCCAATGCGAACGTACTGCTTTCTGCCAGAGAGATAGCTTCTAATAAGAGAGGTAGAGCATAAGGACAGATAGCTCTTTGTTATTCATAGCATTCAGGAAAAAATCGCTTACTAATATATATCGAGGGTTTCAGTAGAATGGTACTTTTTGTTTCCGCTCTGGTGTGCCTTAAGGTGGCCTGTCCGGTACAAAAAAGGGCATGAATTGTTTTAATGCCGCTTTCTCACATATCTTGGAGATTACATTGACTATTGAGAGGGGACGGTTGTTGGAAGCTATTTCATGATCCCTTTCTTTTAATACTTGTATAATTTCTGGTATTTTCCAAGGTTTTAGAAACGTATTGCTTGTAAATGAACAGTTGATAATATCTGCATGTCAATTGGGCCTAAGATAACTTGGAGGCAATCTTTGATATAATAGTCCTCATATTGATTTTATGTTTATTATGCGTTTAATTTCCGCACAAGTAACTGGTATGAAGTGAAATGACTCTTCGGTCGGGCATGGTCGACTCTTGGTTTCACAAGCCGGCTTACTGGATAAATAATTGATGTTGTTATCTAAGCCAAGCTGCGTAGCTGTTTCGGCAGCTGTTATCCCTACTGACTGCATGGAGAAAACAGTTGAAATTGTTGCCAACCTCTTCCTGGTTTTTGCTGTATATTAGGATTGTTTTGTCTTTACCCGGAATGCGGCTATGAATTATATATAGTATACTGTCCAAAGTGATCCACTTTATCTTTATGTGTGTTTACTACAATGCGGACGTATAGTCCTTCTCTGCGACTTTTTAGATGGGTTTGTTTGATTTTTGGGCTGTTTTAAAGTCCATCCAGCCCTCCATCTCTCGAGTCTGTTTGTATCGACGGTTTAGCTGGTCCCTGTGGATAATTTAATTGTTTTATAACGTTAGCAGTAATCGTCGAATCTTAACTTCTCTAACTGGAGCATGGACAGCCAAGGTAGTAGAGAACATCACTAAGTTTTCTGAGTTTGGAATTGACGTTGGGATCAGAAAAGATAGAAATGAATTCTTGTGATCTTGTACCTTTGTTTCATCGTTGCTATCATATGGTTATCAAGTTAGACAGTTTTGCTTTTCAATGAAGCGTTTTTGTGCTGTTTTCATTAATCTTTTCGACTGCTTTCGTCGGGGAAATATGGAAACTCTTTCTTGCCGCGCGACATGACTCAAGAAGAATACAGCATAATATTCTTGCCTAAAATTTGAAACAAAATTGAATAACCTACAAAACATTACCGCCGCGCGCTTTGCAATTGAAACCTTTGCCAAGCGTTACTTAGTTATATAAGCTGAAGAACTGTGTGTATACACAGGAGACTACTTTCAAACTCACTGAACAGCCCTGGCTAGTCTTACTTCACACAAGATGGCTATGGAAAACATTTTTAGCATCAAAGACTTCATTCCCCGTGATCTTCGATTACTTCTTGTTTATAAATACTTTTTTTCTGTTTATTTGAGTAAATTTAGTATATTAAGTTACTTAATTTATTATACTTATATTTTATTATATATTCATATTATATTATATTAATTATATTGATATATTAAGTATATATAGAAAAATATATCGGTCCCCCGGCAAACGGCATGAATCGACCTACACTTTAGCGATGCTATACTCATTTTATCATGATAGCTGCAGCATCGTGGACTTTGCAACAGCCGTACAATTGTTTTTTTGAATTTGACACGCATAATTATACATTCCACCCGAAATTAAGACCCTTCGGCCCTTTAGAAACTATCCTACATTGTGTGGAGTGCTAAAAAATCTTATGATTGATATAATCCATTGTAGTAATATGACAAATCAATTCATTGAGGATCATTTACGTCGCATCACGACATACATACAAGTGCCTTTATGATCAGACAACTTGAAATACGAAAACTCGGTAGGCCCTATTTACTCCGGCGCCAGCGACGGAGTTAAAAATTCGCCCTGGTTTTGTTTTGTTGTTTGTTTTTAGTTTTCGTCGTCGTAAGTATGAAATGGCGCGAAACATTCTAGTATTTTAAATGTGTTGATGACCGTATTTATCTACGTCCCATGGTCTTATCTCCCAAGAGTTGTGGTGCACATCTTTGGCTAATTTTCCGATGCGCGATTCGATTTCGCTCGCATGATACGGCAATTCCTCCAAGAGGAACAAATAAACCGTAGATTAGATTATATTTAATACATGTAGATTCTGGTCCTATTTTAATAATATCGCTGCTATTTCGCCGTTTAACAAGATGATGTGGTCGTGTATGGACGCGTTGACACGTCGTAGTTTGTACATTGAAAATTTAATATAACTATATATAATGCGAATTCCCAAGGCAAAGTGTAAGACAAAGCGAATGTATCATGCGGTTTATTTACATTTTTGAACTATTGAGCTTCTATACTTTTTAAACTACGATGTGCTTCTGAATTTCGCGATCAAACATTTAGGTTCGCAAGGCATCTAAATGCGAATATGAACTGTATTGTTTATGTTCAGAAGCTCTATATTAAAGACTGGCACGTGCGCCAGAGTAAACGCCAGAACAGGCGTCCTGTTTTTAATAAAAACTATTTGTGTTAGAACATTTTAGGCACGCCATTATGACTGATTTAATTATAAAAAATTGATCTTTTTTGTGACACCTGGGATGCAAAACAATACACGAGCGACATCTGCAGCTGACAAACCAAATATCTGAATAATTAAGCCTAATATAGTACCATAACTTTGCAATTGTTTCACTGCTTGATGCAAGGATATTAAAGGGCGGCCTGGAACATTATTTGGCTAATTTGTTCCATAATTTGGGCTACCCTATACTCAAATAGAGAAAGAGGATCAGAATGTTTCTTTGCTCAATGGAGTATGGCACGATATAATGCAATAAGGTAGGAAACAAGCAAATAATCGTAACGGATTTAGGTTTGGCTTACTGCCATTTTTGTCTCTAATTATATAAATAAATAAATTTTATAAGTTGCACGTATGCCCAACTGCATGGTTAGAATTCCAACGGCATTTTGTTTATGCTTGTTGTCATACAAGCATTCGAACATGGCGTAAATTTGGTGATTTGTGTTGTCCATTTAACTATAATTATAGTATACTATAAAATAGCATTAGCCTTGTGAGCATTTGGCTAGTCTTGGAAACGCTTATCAATATTTCACTCTCGTGAGGCGTGCAGAATCTCAGTATTCAATAACTGATGCGATAGAAGCGCTCTTTCAAATAAGTTAACCTAGCATCAAATGTGTTATAACAACTGGCTAGAATAGACAAAACACTTCTCGACGTTTCGACCAGAGGGCCTTCGTCAGGAGAGTTATAGTTTATTGTTTTATGTTTGTAAACAATTCTATGAGGCCAAATGTTATCGACGGTTGACGGACAAATGTTATTACGGAATTGCTATCGACGTTCTACGCATGACGTAAAAACCTGAAATTTGCTGTCGTATAAATAGAACGCGAATGACGTCAAAAACTACCATTTTAAATGGTAAAACCGCGCCCATCAAATTATTCCAGTTGATCAAAACAATTCCTTTCAAATAATAAAATGGATTGCAGCCGCGAAGGATGATGCTTGTATAATTGTTTCGATTGATCATGTTGATTAAACCGACTCTAGTAATTTATGCAAAGCCTTGTAAAATGGTAAGAGTGTAGTCCAGCTGTGCGAGAGGACAAGCCAGCGGTTCGGATTGATCAAGTTTATTAAATCTAACCCATTTTACAAAGACTTTGCAAATGGTAATACAGTGCGGTAACACGGGCGGAAAGGTTTGTAAAGCGGTTCGGATTGATCGAGTTTATCATATTAATTAGACTGAGTAGACGAAGCAAACATGTGTCAGCATCGTTGCCAACGTAGTATAGGTCATCATTCCTAAATTTTTCCTAAAATGTGCATGTTTAGTGTATTTATTTGATATTATTTTGGTATAAGAGAGAAAGATTCTGAATCCGCTGATGCCGTTCCTGCGGCCGCAGTGCATAACAGTTTAATTACCACTCTATAAATAAAAAAAAGGGTGTCCCACATATTACGAGACTCGTTTATCGATTTTACGATTACTACGTTTGACGGAGGTGAGGACCGGGGACTTTGCGATTGATGTCAGCCGTTCATGGATTAATTATTTTGTTCTTTCTATTCAAGAAAAAAAGGAAGTTCCAAAAATATTCTGAACGATATCAGTTTACTTCGAGACGACACCTATGCAAGATTCTGAAAACATTACTGGAACCTTCATTGAAGACGTCGTAGTCAATTTACCCAAACCAAAGCATACGGCCATGCTATCCACCGATGCGAAGCATAATCGTTTAAAGACGTCGGAAAAAGAGGAAAATTTCCCTGAGCTGCTTAACACTGCTAGAGATAAGCAAAATGTCACCACCGAACATCAACTTGGAGAAAAAAGCATTAATGAAAACGAGACACTTGCGGGTAAGATTGAGTTTTCGTTGGAAGTAGCAAATTTCGAGGCATTCAAATATAATTATATAGGACAGCACCTATACAAGCACTTAATCCTGCTTTATGTCATCCTTTGGATATTTTTCGAATTTAGTTGTCATCAATTAGGTAAATTCTAGAAGTTCAAAGGGTCCTTATTTCAAGTGTAATTTTACACATGCACTTCAAATTTAAGCCAGGAACCGTTGATGCCAAAATCATTTTATCGGTCACGTTATTTTATGGGAAATCCGTCAAAATCTTTATTAAAAATTTCATCAATATAACAGTAAGGTTAACAATATTGATAATAATAAAGAAACAAGACAAAAATGAGCGAAATAAACAATGTTTAATGCTCACGTGATTGATATTTATATATTTGTATAATCTTATATATTTGTATATCTGTATAATTATATATAATATATATATATATATATATATATATATATATATATATATATATATATATATATATATATATATATATATATATATATACATATATATCGCTATAGCTGTAAAATCATCTCTTACAGGCATTGATGGGAAACAAGAAGCAAAAAAATTGGTTCAACGTGATGCGTCTGCCAATAACGAAAGCAGGAATGCAATGACAGTTCAGAACACAGCTCCTTACAACTGTATTATTGAAAACGGTGCTCATGTAAACCACAATGATACAAAATGGTGGTGGTTCTGCACTCTGCAGCTGTTTATGGTGAACCTGATTAGTTGAACAAAGTACTGAATTAAAGGTAAAGGATGCCAGTCGGAGGACAGTACTGTACAGTGCCGTTAAAAAAGGGCAAACTGATGTTATTAAATATTTAGTTGAGCATGGAGCTGATGTAAATGGAAAGGATAATGACGGGAGGACAGCTCTACACTTCGCGGTGGAAAATAGTGAAACTAACACCGTAAAATGTTTAGTCGAACTTGGTGCAGATGCAAATAGCAAGGATAACGTCGGGTGGCCAGTTCTTCACTCTGCAGTCGCTCATCGTGAACCGGAGATTGTTAAATATTTAATCGAACATGGTGCTGATGTTAATTGCAAGGATAATGACGGATGGACAGTTCTGCACTATGCTGTTAGAAAAGGTGTGCCTGGCAATGTTAAACATTTACTCGAACATGGTGCTGATGTAAGTGGAGAGGATAATAAAGAGTGCACAATTTTGCACTATGCTGTTGAAGGAGGTGAAATTGATATTGTAAAATCTTTAGTTGAACATGGTACTGATGTAAATGCCAAAAATGCTAGTGGGAAGACAATTCTGTACAGCGCTGTTGAAAAAGGGGAACCTCATATTATCGATTATTTAGTCATGCATGGAGCTGATGTGAATGGAAAGAATAATGATGGGCGGACAGCTTTACACTATGCTTTTGAAAAGAGTGAACCTAATATTGTTAAATATTTAGTTGAACATGGTGCGGATGTGAATAGCAAGAATAAAAGCGGGTGGACAGTTCTCCACTACTCCGTTGAAAGAAGTGAATTTGACACTATAAGATATTTATTGAACACGGCGCTGATGTAAATAGCAAAACTATTCTGGGGTGGAATGTTTTGCGCTTCGCTGTTAAAAAAGGAAACCTGATATTATAAAGTATTTAATCGAACATGGCGCGAAGGTAAATGACAAGGCTGTTTGCGGATTAACAGTGCTGCACTATGCTGTTGAAATAGGTGAACTAAACATTGTAAAATGTTTAGTTGAAAATGGTGCAGATGTTAATGGCAAGGATAGCGATGGGTGGACCGCTTTGCGGTATGCTATTGAAGAACATAAATTCGACGCTGTAAAATATTAGTTGAACATGGCGCTAATGTGAATAACAGGAATACTCGCGGTGGACAATTTTGCACTTTGCAATTGAAAGAGGTGAGCCTGGCATTGTTAATTATTTAGTTCAACATGGCGCTAATCTAAATAGAAAAAATGCTGGCGGGTGGACGGTTCTGCACACCGCTGTTGAGAAAGGTTCAGCTGGCATTGTAAAGTGTTTAATCGAACAT